TGCCCAGGCCTACTCTGGGCCCGAGGCCCACTGAGGCTAACTGGCCTATCCTGGTGGCCAGGCCCTTCTCCTGGCTTTCCACAACCAAATTCCCAGTGCTCCCTGGGGTGGGCGTGGGGTCCTGTTGGCCAACTCAACTAAGGGGTGGGTGGCTGTAATTCATTCCCTCACCTTTCAAGCAGGAGGCTCTGGGGTGAAGGTTCTTGCCCCGCGTGGATCCCACAGCCCAAAGTCCCCCCGACCTACTTCACCTCCTCTGGGACCCCAGGCTTCTGGGAGCCGCCCCTTCTTTTTTCAGGGTACCTGGGCAGGAAGTTGAAAGCAGTGGAGGGAGAAAGCAGTGCCTTCTGAGCCTCCTCAGGTCAGGTCTGAATGTGAAGTCTGATGTGACTTCATTGCCACTGCTCTCCTTTAATTGGCACCCCAGGGGCCTGCGCCCAGAGGCTGCAGCCTGAGCCTAGCTGCTCAGGACCCAGGAGCACAAACCAGCCAACTGCCATGGTCTGCGGGGAAACAGAAAAACTCAGAGCAGATCACAGGCTAGATTGTTGATGTATGTTTTCTCTGATTATAAAAGTAATGCTCACTGGAGAAAATCCTGTAAAGAACAGTACTATCTTCCAGAGATAACCACAGCGAAAATTCCATTTTCCTGAATTTCCTTCTAGTCTTTAAAGAAAGTATTGTGTAATATTTGATAACATACATACGTACCAATGAATATACATAACATGCATCCATGACGAATAGTTTTCAAAGCCCTGAGAGCCCTCCCATTCCTATACCCTCTGAGCTAGCACATTTCCATTTGTGGCAGCACGAAGCCCCCGGCACCCCCCTCCTTCCCTCTCTGCCTCAGGCTGCCTCCCACTTCCCGAGATCCGCACTCCCAGAAATCTCAGGCTTCCATTTCCCCCGCACAAAGATTTTATGTATTCTTTCCAAGCCTTTTTCCATAAACATATTTTATATGGTAATCATCATAGTTCATGTGTCATTTTATATCTTTGGGAAACAGACTTATTAGTCGAAGACTATGGTAGACGCTTGCAGTTAAGATTATTGTAAAGTTTCTGGCCTTAAAAATAATACTGGTACCTCAATGAATTAAATATAGAATGATCATATGGCTCAGCGATTCCACTCCTAGGTGTATATACCCCAAAGATATGAAAACAGGGACTCAAACACGAAGTCAGGGACTAGTACAGGAATGTTCCTAGCAGCATGAGTCACAGTAGCTAAAGGGTAGAAGAAACAATCCAAATGTCCGCCTACAGTTGAAGAAAAAATGGTCTGTCCACACAGTGGAATATTATGGAATACAATGGAATATTATTCAGCCTTAAAAGGAATGAAGTACTGATGCTTGCTGCCATATGGATGAACCTAGAAACCCTGCTAAGGAAAGATACCAGACACTCAGATCCAGATTGTAGGATTCCATTTATATGAAATGTCCACATGGGCAGAAAGAAGCTGGGGGCTGGGGCCTGGGATGAATGTGGAGAGAATGGGTGGGGTGTCCCTTTGTGGGGGCTTGAAAATGTCCTGGAATTAAATTGACATGATAGTTGTACAACAATGTGAATACACTAAATGCCACTGAACTGTACACTTTAAAATGGTTTATGATGGCAAATTTTGTGTTGGGCGTATTTTGCCACTATAAAAATCATGTTGGAAGATAAAGTGGATTGTTCCAACCAAGAGAGGCAGGTTTGCACTTGAAAAAGGAAACGTTTTTTTTTTTTTTTAAATAGTGAGTTTTCTGACAGTGGGCTTATCCAGCAAGTATCACTCTCCCTGAAGTGGAAGGCCCTGGGCCTGCCCTGGGTCCACAAGAAATGTGATCCTAACGCTGGATTCCTTCTGGATATATGAAGTAGCCAGGGCTCTGCCCTCAGGCGCCCCTGTCTGGTAGGGGTGACAGCCATGGAAGTAGAGCTGAGGGCCGCCAGTGAGTGCCCAGGAGCTCCGGGGCAGGCTGGGTGTGGGGTCCCTTGGGGCCTGGCTTCCCCTCTGAGCTGTCCTCTGGCTCCCAGCCCGGGCCTCCCCACACCCATCCTGAGCCTTTGACTTCCAGTGGGCCCTCTCAGGTCTGAAATCGAGGTTTGGTGTGAGTGTATTCTGCGGGGGCCTCCACAGCCTGATGTAAATTAAGTCACAATTCATGGCTGTGAAAGCACCCCACATGTTTGGTCTACCGGGGTCCTATCTGTGCCACATGGTGTTCACTGGGCCTTTCGTGGCTCCCACGCACAGGCACTTGGGCAGGGCCTCAGCATGTATCTGCTTGCCAGCGAGTGTGGCCAGGATGGACATGCCTGGGCATCTGGCTTTGAGTTGGGTGTAGGTGACAGGAGGGGGACAGGAAGTGATGAGCAGGTTCCAAGAACACCCGCATCTATTGCTCCACTCCACAGAAGAAGGGATGAGTGAGGGGGGGGGTCAGCTGTGAGAGTCAGCGTAAGAAGGTGATGTCCCCGGCAAATGAGTAATTTGCAAAAATCTTGGGATGGAGACGGGACAATGACACAGGCTGACAGTGAGGCATGGGGAGGTGGCAGAGGGAAGGAGGGGAAGAGAAGACCTGAAATAAGATGGTTCAACACAGTGTCATAGACCCAGCCCCGATGCCACCAAGCCCTACGCCTCACACACACAATCCATTCACACCCAGACTACCATACTCACCCACCCCAGCACACACTCTACCCCTACACCTCAGCCAAAGCCCCACTCACATCCCCACCCCTTCTTACACCCCTATTCCCCCACCTCATATCCCCATCCCACATGGGTGCCCATTTTCCACACCCTCCGAGCCCCTACTACATATAGGAAGGAGGGGACTTCTCCCAGCTTCCTGGCTGAGCCCGCTCCCCATTCCTTGTACTCGCCAGCCCCATGCTGCCCCCCAGCCCCATGCTGCCCCCCACCAGGCCTGAGATGCTGTGGCTGCTCAGGGCTCCCTCCAGCGGCTCTGGAAACTTGGAACTCCGAAGGCACCTGATAGTTTTCCTGTAGTTTTCAATTGTTCTAAAATAAACCTGTTTCTTCTGTAATTAGACAAAATTGATTGACTAAAATATCTTTTCTGATCATTTAAAGTTTGGGGAGAGGGGAGACATAAAAACTGAAATTATTATCCACGAGGACATAATCATGTAGCAGAAAGGGCATATGGGTTCCATTGCTCAGAGGAGCCATGGCTGGCCAGGGATCCCTAGGACTCCCTGTGCTTTCCTGAGGACAGCCTGCCTTTCTGGAAGGGGCTGGTCTGTCACGTTGCCACCGAGAAGACAGCATTTTGCTGTTGGATTGGGCACTTCTATGAAGAACCCCATCACCTTGAGACACCCAGGGAGGCAGGTGGCACTGTTGAGAATGGAAAGACAGGACAGCTCTGCCAAGCAGAAAAGGGTTCTCATTTGCCACAGCCACCTGTGTTTGTGTGCCCTTGCCCAAGTGGGCCCTTCTCCCTTTCCTGCAGAAGCTCTGTCCATGGATAGATGTTCGGTCCCTGCGACCTGCACTCTCGATGCTGACTGTCAGGGAATTCACTTCCACCAGTGCCCCCCTGTCCCTTCCTGGCCCCCTCTCCCTTCCCCTGATGCAGGGCTGGTTCCACCTGCTCAGGGAGCCTTCCCTACCTGCCCTTCTTAGGTAGCTTGTGGCTGGTCCTGTGCTTCCTTAGCAGCCCTGCCTGCCCCCCAGGTGCTGCCCCCTTGGGGGACAGGCAGGGCTGTAATTAGACAAAATTGATTGACTAAAGTATCTTTTCTGATCATACAAAGTTTGGGGAGAGGGGAGACATGGAAACTGAAATTAGCGTTTACCTGCTGGGTGTAGCCATTTTGGGTGTCACCACTAGTGTGTGACCCCTCCCCAGGCCCAGAACAGACTTTCCACAGCTGCTGAGTGAATTGAAGACCTTACCATCCCCCCTTTCATGAACTGCTGCTTTCTGACTCTCCTTCACTGGTCCCATGACACATGCCCTGAATCCTGGCTGTGTGTGTTTGTTTGGTCCTTAGTCTTCCTGCCTCCCTGCCAGGGAAGGCCTCGAGGTTGGAGTGTGGGCTGTGGCATTCACTAGCCTGAAAGTGACTGTCCCAGGGCCCAATGCAGGCAGGCTGCTGCAGAAATTAGGGGCTGGGCTGGGGCCAGTCTTCTGTACACAGTTACCTTGAGGGCATGCCTCGGCCCTCCCAGCTGGGGCCCTGCCCTGGATCTGCTGGGAAGGCCCTCCATCCTCCACTCACTGTCGTCCTGCTTCTCTTCCCTGAGGTTGCTCCAGTCCCACCTTCTGCTTGACCCCCAGCCTGCTCTGGCCTCCTCCATCCCTGCTTCCCACTCTGACCACTGCGCAGCCTGTTCTGGCTCATGATCTTGACTTCACTCCCTTTATCCTGCTGAGCATTGGTTTCCTCATCTGCCAAATGGGTTATCAGGATCGGGATTTGAGGGAGAAGCACCTTAGGTGCCCAAGAAACGGCGGTGGTTGTATAAGGGCCACTTCTTTGGCCCTAGGCTACCTTGCAATGCCAGGAGGCTTTGTGTGTGTTGGCCTTTTTCTCTGGTGAGTCCCTCTCCACATTGAGGACAGAGATCCTGTCCTTTGCATCTTCGTACTCTTCCCAACCCTCCTGTCGGAACCCATTTGTTGACGCCCATCGGGAGAGGAGTCAAGGTCTTCCTTGTGCTCAACAGACCCTCAGTTCCCGTCAAGGGGGACTCCGCAATCTTCTCTAGATGCTAGCTCTGGCTTCCGTGCTCCCCAGACCCAGTGCACAGTCACCAGCGGTTCCTGGCCTTCGGGGCATGGCCCAGCGATCCCCAGACAGCACTGCGTGGGGACAGGGCTGAGAAGTGGGGTTCACCTGGGAATGAGGGTGCTAAGGGTAAGCATGGTGTAGGGTGGAAAGCAGATTTCTCGGTTGAGCAGATTGGGGTGCAGGTCGGTGGGTTCTCACAGGGCCGTGTCTCTGCCACAGGTAAACGGGAAGGAGCTCTCCAAGCTGTCTCAGGAGCAAACCTTGGAGGCTCTGCGCTCCTCCAAGGAGCCCCTGGTGATCCAGGTGCTGAGACGAAGCCCCCGCCTCCGGGGGGACAGCTCCTGCCATGACCTGCAGCTGGTGGACAGTGGCACTCAGACTGACATCACCTTCGAGCATATCATGGCGCTGGGCAAGCTGCGCCCGCCCACCCCACCCATGGTCATCCTGGAGCCGTACGTCCTGTCTGAGCTGTGAGTCGCCCTCAGGAGGGCCCCGGGCCCTGCCTTCAGAGAGGGCATGCCACCAGGGGCAACCATCTCTACGCCACTCAGAAGCTACATTGCTGTAGCTCTGGGCGTGGCAGGGAGACCCCCACTGGCTTGCCCTCTGGGGCAGGAAGCAGGTTCCTTGGCCCCCAGAGCTGACTGGCACCCAAGGGCTCAGAAATCTCCAGGCCTCTAACCTCAGGCTGGACACCAGCCGGGGAAGGGGCCAGGGGAGGCTGACACACAGGCTCCCCATTGTATCTACCCCCAGGGCCAAGGCAGGACCATCCTGGGACCTCGCTGCTGGAAGGTTGAGGTCCTCAGCTCCTCCTCCTCCATCCTCTCTCTTCTGCCGCCCCATCGTCTTCTGCCTCACAAGCATCACCCCTTGAATCTTCTTGCATCCTTGTCTGTCTCATCCCTCTCCCTGCTCTGAACTTCCTCCATCTCTTCGGCTTCTTTCTTTGGCCCACTTGGACGAAGGGCCTCTCATCCAGGCCTGGTGGCTCATGACTGTGTGAGCGCTGACTCATTCTGCTAGTCTAAACCTGGGCTGCAGGGAGGTGGTCCCGGGATCCCCTCCTCCACAGAGAGGTAGGCCCAGGGCCACCAGCAGCCAAGCTTGGACTTGGAGCAAGGAGGGGGCCACCGTTGGCAATAGAGTGGGTCCTTCTCTGCTCCTGAGCAGTCCTCCAGGGCCTGGATAACTCCTGGGGGCGTTGCATGAGTGGGGCCAGTGCTGGGTGGGAGGGGCACCTAGTCTGGGCTGGGGTATGGTGTGGGACAGGCTGGGAGAGCGAGGCATGCCTGGGTTCTCGGAGCGGACCCCTGTAACTCCCCTGCACACTCCCGCTCAAGAACCATTCTTGGTGTATGCATGGATGCATGTAGCTCAGAAGGAGGGGGTTCTGGAAGAGGCAGCTGGGCTGCCTCCCCTGAGGGTGCACCCAGAGCAGGGCTCCATGCTGAGGAAATTGGGACTGGCCAGCCTGGGAGCTGGGGCTAGGGCATAAGAGGAGCAGATGGCCCGCCTGACCCCCGCCCCCCTTCTCCTGGGCAGCCCCCCCATCAGCCATGAGTATTATGACCCAGCGGAGTTCATGGAGGGAGGTCCACAGGAGGCAGATCGAATGGACGAGCTGGAGTATGAGGTGAGCGTGGCCAACAGGCCAGGCTAGGGCTGGGAGCCAGCCTCGGGTGCCAGCCCCAGGATGGCTGTCTGCAGCCCAGCTCAGGCCTGGCTCCTGCTGCCCCCAGGTGGCTGGGCCTTGTGGCCTTTCCTGGTGTGTGGCTGGTTCTTCAGGCTCACTGGCCAAGTCTGGCTGAGTCTGGGAGGGCACGGGTGAGGTCCTATGGTCAGTTTATGTTGGTGAGTCTGTGTCCCGTATGTGTCTGTGTCCTGTGCGTCCCATGTGTCTTGTATGTGTCTTGGGCATTTCTTAGTAGGGAAGACCACTGGACATATGCACCATTTGGGGATGGTAAGAGAGACCCTCCAAACCAGGGGCTGGAAACAGCTCACGTGAAGTACTGCTGGGGGTTAGGGCTAAGCCGTGGCTGCCACCCCTGCTGCCCGTGCCGCATGGGTCCTTGCTCACTATTTTCCTGGGGCTTTCTTCCTCTACTTCCCCCATTCCCCTTGTGGCAGGAGGTGGAGCTGTATAAAGCCAGCCACCGTGACAAGCTGGGCCTGATGGTTTGCTACCGCACTGATGACGAGGAGGACCTGGGCATCTATGTTGGAGAGGTATGAAGGTGGGGTATGGAGGTGGGGTCTTCTAGAAGGCAGCGGAGCACCATGCCACCTTCATGCCACCTTCCTGTGTGCTAGCACCTCAAAGTTGGACTTTGATGTCCATCTGTAGAGCACTAGTGAGGGGGGCAGGCACCATGGTAGCAGGTGCTGAGGCAGGATCTGACACACAGAGCGTGCCCATACCGTCTTATACCCTCGGACTCTCCACAATGCCCAGGGTTCTAAGGCTGCCTATAAAGACCCAGCTGTTGGGGATAGGGCCTGCTTAGCATCACAGGGAGGTTGCCAGTGGGTGAGGCCAGGGCAGCCAATGGCTTCAGTGTATGTCCAGCCTGGCAGTCCTCCCCAGCACACCTGTGGTCTGGGTGGGACAGTGGGCAAGACTGAGGCAGGATAAGGTGCTGGCCAGGCTCTGTTCCCCCTCCCACGTCCTGCAGCCAGATCCTCTGGTATTCATGAGGGTCATTCTCCCCCCACCTGGCTGTGGCAGATGTCTGTGTGTCTGCAGGAAGGAGGACTGCTCCCCTGCTGCCCTCTACACTCTAGCAGTATCCTAATCAGGTTAACCTTCCTATGACTATCCTACTACTGATTTTTTTTGAGTACAGGCGAGTATCCAGCTTCCTGCATTCACCTAGCTTCTGACACAAAAAAGAACAGGCTTCTATGCAAAAGAGTGTAGGTGTGCTGGCGTGGGCATGGGGGTGGCCGGCAGAGGCTAGGAGCTTTTTGTCGACAAGTTGGCAGCTGGTCTTGGGGAGAGGTGACTAGCCAGCCCCAGGCCCACTGTTTTGTCCCTGCCTCCTAGAGTTTGGCAGCTGCTGGTCTGAGCTGAAGAGGGAGTAAGCAAGGAGCCTTTGATTTGCTTTGCCCCACCCCCACCCCCACCCCCGAGGTGAGGCTGCCCCTTCCTACTGAAAGGGCACCTTAGTGGAAGTGGTGAGTCCCCAGGATGTGTGTGCCTTGCAGGTGAATCCCAACAGCATTGCAGCCAAAGATGGCAGGATCCGTGAGGGAGATCGAATCGTCCAGGTGAGCAGGGCGGGCACACCTGACCTAATGCCCCACGGCGCCAGCTGACCCACCCACCACCTCTTTCCTCAGCTGATCCTAGTTCTGTCCTACTAAGAGCTTAGCCTGGTGCCAGGCATCCTGAGGTGCCTGAAACTGTGGCTGGGTCTCATTTGCATAGCTTCCCTGTGTGGCCCCCATGCACCCATGAGATCTGCTCTAGCACCTAGCCAGCCTTTCCCCGCTGTCCCCCAGATGTGACTACACCTCCCACTCCTCGCTGTCCTTTGAGCACATGTTGCTTTTGCATGGGCCAGGCTGCCCTCTCCCGAGGCATCTTCCACTTTCCTTCCTAGCAAAGCTCAAAAGCCTGTCCTAGCCCAGGGTGCCCAATGAGGGCACCATCGCAGAGCCAGCCTTGGCGTCCTTGTTGATTATCCCTTGGCCTGCCACAGATAAACGGTGTGGACGTCCAGAACCGGGAAGAGGCAGTGGCCATCCTGAGCCAGGAGGAGAACACCAACATCTCCCTGCTGGTCGCCCGGCCTGAGAGCCAGGTGTGTGTGCCTGGCAGGGTGTCCTGGGTCCCCTGACATTGGGTTTTCTGTCTTGGAAGCTACTGATTTATGACAAGGACATAGACATGCCAACAACCTGGCATTGATGGGGGGCTGGCGATGTCCCAGGGCCCATTCCCCTTTCTGGCCTGTGATGGCTGAGTGGGCTGGGACCACTTCCTCCCTTGGGTTGTTACCTTCACTGAGCCCAGGAGGCTGGGTATGGGACCTTGAGGCAACTGGAGGGGTGTCTGGGGAGGTTCTTAATGAAGTTGAGACAGCATGGGCCTGTCTCTGCAGCTGGCAAAGCGATGGAAAGACAGTGACCGGGATGACTTCCTGGATGACTTGGGCTCAGAGAATGAAGGGGACCTGCGTGTGCAGAAGCTGAAATCCCCGCCTGCCCAGCAGGTGAGGAAGGTGGGGAGGGCAAGCAGGGGATAGGGAGGAGGGGCTGGGCCTATGTGAAAGGTAGACCAGACCCGAAAGCCTTTCTGATCCCCATCCTCCTGTGGCGCCCCTGCCAGTGGGACCCAGACTGAGTGGGGCTCATCTTTGTGTCCCAGCTTGGAAATGAAGAGGAACAAGGGGCCCCCAATGTGGGCCCAGGCCTGAGCAACAGCCAGGAGCTGGACAGTGGGGTGGGCCGGACTGATGAGAGCACCCGAAATGAGGAGAGCTCTGAGCATGACCTGCTGGGGGACGAGCCCCCGAGCACCACCAACACGCCCGGGACCCTGCGCAAGTTTGGCCTGCAAGGGGACGCCCTGCAGAGCCGGGACTTCCACTTCAGCATGGACTCCCTGCTGGCTGAAGGGGCCGGGCTGGGGGGTGGTGATGTCCCTGGCCTCACGGATGAGGAGTACGAACGCTACCGGGAGCTGCTGGAGATCAAGTGCCACCTGGAGAATGGCAACCAGCTGGGCCTTCTCTTTCCCCGGGCCTCTGGTGGCAACAGCGCCCTGGATGTCAACCGCAATGAGAGCCTGGGCCACGAGATGGCCATGCTGGAGGAGGAGCTACGGCACCTGGAGTTCAAATGCCGAAACATCCTGCGGGCGCAGAAGATGCAGCAGCTGCGGGAGCGCTGCATGAAGGCTTGGCTGCTGGAGGAAGAGAGCCTTTATGAGCTGGGGGCCAGTGAGCCCAAGAAGCACGAGCTGTCCGACATCTCCGAGCTGCCGGAGAAGTCTGACAAGGACAGCACCAGCGCCTATAACACGGGGGAGAGCTGTCGCAGCACCCCGCTGCTCACTGAGCCCCTGCCAGAGAGCCCCCTGAGGCGGGCCGCTGCTGGCAACTCCAACTTGAACCAGACCCCCTCTGGCCATCCTGTCGCCACCCACACCAAGGCAGCTCCTCCACAGGGGAGCCCCTCCAAGTTCCGATCCCTCTCCCGGGATCCTGAGGTGGGTCGGAGACAGCACTCAGAGGACCGTGTCCGCCGCAGCCCTAAGACAGGGGTGACCCTGGAGCGCGTGGGCCCTGAGGGCAGCCCTTACCTCTCACGGCGCCACCGAGGCCAGGAGAGCGAGCACTACCACAGTTGTGTGCAGCTGGCCCCGCCACGTGGCCTGGAGGAGCTGGGCCAAGGTCCCTTGAGTTTGGCTGGCGGCCCTCGGGTGGGTGGAGCAGCAGCAGCAGCAGCTGCCACCGAAGCACCCCGCATGGAGTGGAAGGTCAAGGTGCGAAGTGATGGGACCCGCTATGTGGCCAAGCGGCCTGTGCGGGATCGCCTCCTAAAAGCCCGGGCCCTGAAGATCCGGGAAGAGCGCAGCGGCATGACCACTGATGACGATGCGGTGAGCGAGATGAAGATGGGCCGCTACTGGAGCAAGGAGGAGCGGAAGCAGCACCTGATCCGGGCCCGGGAGCAGCGGAAGCGGCGCGAGTTCATGATGCAGAGCCGGCTAGAGTGCCTGAGAGAGCAGCAGAACGCTGACAGCAAGGCTGAGCTCAACATCATTGCCTTGAGCCACCGCAAAACCATGAAGAAGCGGAACAAGAAGATCCTGGACAACTGGATCACCATCCAGGAGATGCTGGCCCACGGCACTCGCTCGGCTGACGGCAAGCGGGTCTACAACCCTCTGCTCTCAGTCACCACTGTCTGAGCCACCTAAATGGGAGCCCGGCTGTGCTCCAGGGTGGGCCCTCTGCTCCGACCCAGGTCCAGTGAGCCTCCAGGGACCCTGCCCCCTGCTCTCACTTAGAATCTAGTGTGTGTCTGTGTGTGTGTGTGTGCGCACCGGACTTTGTTACCAGAGAGAAGCCCCGAGGAGAAGGGGCACCCCTTCAGCTCTGTGCACATGTGTGTGCCACACGAGCCCAGGCACATGCACGTGTGCACACACACACACACACACACTCCTACCGAGCTCTCTCTGCGCGGGTACATGGAGACGGGGAAGTTGAGCTGAAAAGGATTTAAAAAAAGAGGATTGTCCGAAGCACAAGAGAATGTCCTGCTTCGAGCTGAGCACAGCTTCTCCCCCTGCTGGGAGCCTCCACTGTTTGTAGACAAAGGCAACCCTGATTTTTCGTGGTTTTTCTCCCTTTCTGTGCTTGCCACTTGTTTTTCTGTCTTGTGGACCTGCCCTGGGGGCTGGCAGCTCCTTCAGACAGCCTGTCAAAGGTGGAACCCCCCTGTGAGGGCTGGGAAGGAGATGGGTGGGGGGAAGGAAGCGAGGGAGGGGGAGGGTGGGAGGGAAGGGTGGGAGGGAAGGGAAGAGTGGGAAGCAGCTTTCCTGCTGGCCTCCACACTGAGGTGTGGGAACAGGGAGCCTCTGAGGTGGCTTTGAGGCTCACCCTGGGGGCCACCTCCTTTGTAACTGAGGGAGAGCTGAGACTGGGGGGACTGGGCAGTGTCCATCCAATAAGAAATAACGGAGCCTGGGGCTGTGCCTGATGCCATGTGGAGTGTGGCTTCTCTTCTGAGGGGGATTCTTAGACAGTGAGGGTTCCAGAAACCAGGCCCCACAAATAGCAGCACAAGACCTTAGTGACAAAACCAACACGCAATTGAGGGTGCAGCCTGGATCCCAGTGAGGGGTATGACCAGCCAGCTGGGCTGAATGGGAAGATGCCCTGCACCCCATTTTGCATGTGCGGACCGGGCAGCTCCCAGGGACTGGTGCATTTAATGAGAGCTGGCCTCAGGCCCCCGGGGCCCCTCTGGCTCAGAGCACCCCAGACTGGAGGCAGACAGGCTGCCTATCCCTGCTCCCCACCAGCATCAAAAGAATAAAGCAAGCTGCCTTTTTATGGTGACTCTTGGCCTCCTGTGTTCATTGTCATCCATGCTGGGAGAACAGATGTCCGGTTGGGGGTGGGGGAGGAGTGTGGGGGAGTGAAGTGCAGGGAGGTGAGGGCTGGGGCCAACTGAAAGCTGTGCCTCAGCTTTCTTGGTGTGTCACTGAGGAATGGCAAGGTCTATACCATGGGAGGAGGTGTGACAGGGTCACTTGAATCATTTCAGAGGCGTGACACGGTCACAGGGGTGGTCCCCAGATGCAGGAAGGCTGGCAGAGGCCTGGCTTAGTAAGGCTGGTGGCGGGGCTGCCCCTGGCACGGTGGATGAGGCCTACATCCCTGAGCTCTGGTGGAGCTGGAGAGAAGTGGGTTCCACCCACTCCTTACTCTCTGCTCCAGAAGAACCTCAGGGGCAAGTTGCTGCTGGGAGCTTCTCCAAGGCACAAGCTACCCTCCCTAGTTGGGGATCTCACTGTGCCTAGCATGCAGAAGATGCTGAGTAAATGTCTTGGCCAGATGAATGAATACCTGGGTGGCCACAGAGGGCCATTCTGGCTTGGGAACTCCCAGGAGGCAGCTAGGTAGATGCTTGTGGTTCTGTTTAATGCAGCAAATCATGTTATCTGCTAAGTGCCAGGAGCCGTGCTACATGCTGGGTGGGGGCCAGGGCCTCAAAGACAGCAACTCCAAGAGCTCCATGGGTGTGGCCATGAAGGAGTTGTCTCCGGAACAGACACTGGACACTACCCGCAGCTGAAGTGGGCAAGGACACAATCAAATTATCTTGAGAACAACAATGTAGACTTGTCAATTCCACTAATTGGCTGAGATGGGTGTGAGGGAGAAATCGGGAGTCCATGTTCCCAGAAGCCAAGTGCCCTGCTGGGGAAGGCTGGTTCCTCTGAGCATCTGGGATGGAAGGCCCGGAATGTACACAGCAGGCTGAGAACGTACCAGCGAGTGGGAAGGGAGGAAAGGGCTTGATGCGAAGGGGTGAAAGGGAGCAGAGGTGGGGGCTGGAGCTGCCCGCCTCTAAGGCCTCTTGCTGAGGGCTAGGTACATGGACTCCTGTGACCAGCCCCCTGGTCCTCAGGAGGGGACACTTGGCCCCATATATGTTTCCCATGGAGGACGACGGCCTGGCCCCTGCTTCAGAAAACTGGGCATAGTTGGAGACTCAGGCCAACTGTCCTCTGGTCATCCCCCTCTAGCTGCTGGGGGGCTCAATTTGGTGGTTCTAGAGGTACTCCATTCTAGCTCCAGTGGGGATGCTGGGGTCCCTTGGCCCAATGAAAGCCAGTGCTGGGGATAGGTTCTCACTGGTTCTGGGAGAGGTGTCGCCAGGACAACTGGCAGCCCTTGGCTACTGACACCCTGAAATAGTGACCACATTTGGGTCCCATTGCCATCGGGCAGAGCAACTGGGCAGCCCACAGAAGCCACTGTCCATCCTGCCTGCCTCACCTCCTGTCCAGCCAGGCTGAAAGCGCCTGCCCTGCACAGGCTGTTGGCAGAACACAGGACCTAGCTCCCTTTGCTCAGCAATGAAGGGGAACACTGATCACGGCCGGCATTTGCACCTTGAGCTCCCTCCGCTGGTCTTTCTTGGGAATCCAGAAACCCCAGCAGCCAGCAGCCCTAGCCTGCCTTGGTCCTCAGGGGACTCTCAGCCCCAACTTCTGCTCTACCCCTGCTTTTGGGGGTGAGTACCCAGCTCTCCTCTGGAGCCTCTCCAATCCTGCAAGTCGTCCCCATCCCAATGAGCAGGGAGAGGCTGGTGTCCTCTAGTCTGGAGGAGGTCCTCAGGCAGTCCTGGGTCATAAGCCACTCCCGCTTTCCATGCTCCCAGCCCTTCCGACTGCCATGGGGGACAGAGCCCAGGTACCAAGGAGCCCCATGCTCTTCCAGGTAGGTTCTGGGCCTCCTCTCCTTTTTGAATGCATCCTTTCTGGAGGCTTCTACTGTGTTGTTCGCACAGCCGTTGGTACTCAAGCACCAGCGTGCCAGGGGCTTTGCTGCTAGGCCCAATGACCCCTCACGGACACCCTGCAGAAGACAGCCACCATGTCACTGCTGAAAACCGACTTGAACCTTGCAGATGGGAAGGACTCCTGTGATTTGCACACAGCCCCTTTGGACCCCAGGGCTCTCATCATCTCTGCAGCCAAGAGCGGCACCAGTGAAATGGCTGGGCGGGATGGCTGCTGGTTGACCTGGAGCATGAAGCAGGAACAGGCTTGTCTGCCTGGTGTCCCAAGGGCACTGGGTGCTCAGGGGAGAGGCATCACTAAGGGGAAAGTGCAAGGCCAAACTGGAAGAGGCTAGCAATGGGCTCCCCAGAACATGGTGGTCTGGGTCCTCTTCTCTGTGCCTTCTACATGTCCCACCTGACACCATGAAGTGAGTGCACTGGGAGGTAACATGGAGGGGATGGAGTGTACTGCTTGAAATGACCACCCCTGACAGCTGCCAGGTGTTATTGGGCAACTGCATCAGTAAGATAGGGGCACTCGTGGTGCGCCACAGGAAGAGCGCAGAAAGTGCACCTTGTGCCTAGGGCTTCAAACGAGCCACTGTGCAGGCAGGCAGGGCTGCGTGTATGCGTGTTGCTGACTGCTGCATTTTGGCGAAGCTAGCAGTTGTCTACCGTCCTAATGGTAGGGGGTCAGAGGGCCCTTCCGTAGGCGAGCCATGGGAAGACCCATGCCTACCAGGCCAAAGGGGCTGGGGGAGGGCAGAAGAGAACAAAGCAGTCCTCTGCCAGAAGATGGTATATGCTGGGGGAGGGACAACCCCAGGCCTTGCCCAAAGTTGTGCAGGCAACTGGGAGACAGAAGGTAGCCACTGGGCACTGGGGGCACCAGGCAGGGAGGGATTAGCTAGGGGCCACGTGAAGAGAGCCTGCAACGGCAAAGAGCAAAGCAAGCGCACAAGACCGGGGCATTTTCAGCCCCATCCCCGCTCAAGGCTGTACTGTCCAGGTGGACCAGGGGATGCTGGCCGCCCAGCTCTGCCCTGCATGGAAGGCTAGGTGCAGCAATGCAAGCGAGGAACCGTGTCCTGAATGCATGTGATAGCCTGTAATTGTTTATTGAAAGAAGCAAGGGGGCTGGGGGCGCCGCCCTCAGGCCTGGATGTGGCTCTTGGCGCTGAAGGCCAGGTAGTAGATCACTAGACCGATGACTGCAGCCAAAACCTCAGTGGAAACCCAGGGCCCGTTCCAGGTACCCTGCAGGAAAGGAGACTCAAGTCAGCTCAGGGGAGGGATGGGCGAGGGGGCCAACCAGCCCTAGCCAGCTCCGGTTACCCTCCTTCTGGGGCAGAAAGACACACTGGCCAACAACGGCCCAGCCCTCACCCCCCAAAAAAGGGGAAGGCTTGCTGTGTGCTCGCCGCTCCCCGAGACAGGGCAAGCCTCTTCAGCCTACTTACCCGATGGTCCACGCTGACTGTGAACAAGGGTGGGATGATGGAAACGTCCTCATTATTTCTCTGAGCCTGCAAAGGAGGCGCGAGGGTCAGGGGCACTGTGAGGTGGGGTGGAGCAGGAGAGGCAGGAGAGCTGGCTCAAGGCATGGGAGAGGCGAGGAGAGAAATATGCAAGGGAGAAACAGACGGCACAAGCACAGGTGGGGTGGGCGGACAGGAAGGCAGCCACCCGCCATCCTGCTCCCTGCAAGCAAGGCCCCTAGTGGCCCAGAGCTCCAGGAAAAGGATACTGTGGGGTGGAGATGGCCAGGGAAGCAGGGTGTACCCTCCCTCCTGCAGGCCTGGGTGGAGCCCCAGGTGACACTCACCTTCCTCAGGAGGCTGTATGATTCCTCGTCGAAGAATCTGACCTCATAGGTGCCTGCGTGGGCACTCTTATGGTCTAGGCTCCAGGATACCTGGGGTGGGTGTGTGGCAGGGAGTAAGCACAGGGGACACATCAGGACCCCCCTGCTGGCGTTAACACAGCACTGCTACCAGCGGCTCAAGGCAAAGAACCCCGACCCTGCTTGACCAGGCCCGCTCTAGGGCTTCAAGTCACACCTGTGAATGGGTGACGTCCCCCCAAAATAACCACAGCATCCCTTACCTGATAACGCCCCACGTCCTGGCCCCGGGTGACAGGAAATTGTTTTCCGCTGACATCAGCATAAAGAGCCATGTTCTGGGGGAGAAGACAAAGGGAGAGTCACATTATCCTGTTTGGCGGGTGGCAGAAGCCCCACTGTGTTGTGGGCAGGGAAGCCAGGCGAGTTGGGGACTGCAGTGTGTCTGGAAGGGGGCACCATGAGAGAACCACGGAGGTAGGCCTGCCACAACCCAGAGCCTGGCCAGGAAGCCAACACCCATGGACGCTGTCACTACCTCTCTGTCTCCTCAGTGGGGTGGCAGCACATCCCCCTTATGGCCTGGCCTCCCTAACCCACAGCAAGCCTGTTAACTGTTAACAGGGTGAGATGACTGAAGTGTCCTCGTTATTTCTCTCAGCCTGGAAGGGGGTGCCAGGGTCAAAGGGTGCCCAACTTCCTTCTTTGGGCCTTTGGGATACAGGTTAAGGTCAGGGGCCGAGGCCAGATCTACTTAGTCCTAAAATTACAAAATACCGACATGGCCACACACCTTGGCACAGAGCACCCAGAAAAGCGATGCGGGAGCCTAGGGCTGACCAGTGCCTGTTCCTCACTTCCACGTACGTTCTTTCAAGACACAGCCAAGTGTCTACCTACATTACTGCACCTGAGCAAAGCACACCAGGCAGCTTAGGATGTTCTTGAAACCCCTGCTATAATGTGGTCTTGGGTGTGCCCTGATCTCTCCTACACCTCTGAATCGAAATCCTTATTGTCCCTCTGTACCCAGGGTCCAATCCCATCAACTGCCCACCTCTCACCGGAAAACCCTCCTGGCTGAACCCCCACTGCCTCACCTGGACCCTATTCTTGCATGTTAGTGAAATCTCCACGATGAAGACAGTCTCAGTGGAAATGACGGCATCCGAGGTTGTGTAGTAGGAAGGGGTGATCTGGGGCTCCATGCAGGCCTCTGCTGTGGGGAGGAGGCAGAGAGATGCCTGGGTAAGGCCTGGCTCGTGCACGATGGGCTGGGGGACAGAAGGGACCACCCCGATCTCACCTACCACACCTTATCAGCTGAGGACACATGAGGCCCTTCAGACCAAGCCAGGTGGGATGTGGGAGGACAGATCTAATTGATCAGTCAAAGGTGCAGTGGGAAGGCTTTGTAGATGTGGAACCTCAATGCAAGGGCGAAAGAACAGGTGAGTCTGTATGCGGGGCTGGATGGATTCACTGCACAACTCAAGTCTGTGCCTGGACCTATGGATAGGGAAGCCATGCGATGGTTTGGGGCTGCAGCCTGCTCTGGCCTATAGCACCCTAGAAGCCCAGGGGGCCAGGCTGAGCTCAATTCAGAGTCATGCACATCCCTGACAGTTTACTGAAGGTGTCCTCTGCAGACACCAAACAGTGCTGCTGGCAATACACATGGGCTTTCAAAATGAAGGAAAGGGTCTCTGTCCCCAGCCACAGTTGACTGTGGCCAACACTAGCCCTGTGTTTCCCAAGGGAAAGAAATAGGAGAGGTTCTAGATCCAGAAGCACAACTTGTCTCCTTGAACAGGGCTGCCCTGAGAGAAAGAATGTTGCCTAAGTCACCTCCACACTGCTAGAGGCTACAGAGAAAGAAGGGTACCACCTAAGTCACAGTGCATCAAGCAAACGCTACCAGTGGTAAAGTTCTCAGCCAACTGCTCTCCAAATGGGGTGTCCCGGCAGAGCCATGCCTAGTCTGAGGCAGTCCAAGAGGGCTTTGGGTCTGGACAGCGGAAAGATGCCTGGGAACACTGTTGGGGGTGGTTCTCAGGAGCCACATCCTGCACATCCTTCAGTGCCCTGCTAAGCTTGGCCTTTTTCCTATGGACACTGTGGAGCACCAAGGGGTTTTACAGCAAAGTTTTTCCTTTCCAGACATCACTGGCTACAGTGTGGGGAATTCCTGAGTAGGTGAGAAGGATGCAGACAGGAAGGCTCGTTAGGCTGGTGAAACATTCCAGGCACCAAGGGTGCTGGCCTGAAGTAGGGCGGGTAAAGTGAATGTGCAGAAATCGACCCCTCCCCAGACCTGGCACGGGCTCCTGCAAGGACCTCCTCCTCAGCACACTTCTGGACTCCAGTCTGAGCTCAACCCTGCCACCAGGAGTTAAGAATATCTCAAAAATGTCAATTGCTCTGACTGTGGCTCAGCTCTGCTGAAAAGCCCTTTAAGGATACATCAGGGCCTCAGGGAAAAAGTCAACAGTCTGACCTGCCACTCTAGGCCCTCCGGTCATGGACACTCTGCCTGGGCCATCCTTGCTCCCTCTCGTCACTTGGAGCTCCCTTCCCGGGGAGGCCTGACCCCACCACACCGGGTTAGGTGTCTCCTCTCCACCAGCCCCGTTTCTCGCCCCGATCACCCTGCACTGTAGAGCTTTGCTCCTGTCCAACCCCTCCTCCAAGACCGGGAGCTCCGGGAAAGGGAGCAGGGACGTGTGTCACTTTCCCTACTGGAGATGGGGACCGGGCGCACGGGAGAGGCTCTAGGACTCTTTCTCGCAGAGGCAGACGGTGGAAAAGATTTAGTTGTTTCTTCCTGCAGCCTGGCTGCTGGGTAAACGTGTGTGGTGCAAGAGTGCGTGGTGGCTTTGGTCGTCGCGCCCCGAGGCCACCTGCCTCTTGGAGGAAAAAGGCCCAGACCCCGGCTTCCCCCGCATCCCTCCTCCCCGCCACGCACCACCAGTCGTGGGAGAGAAGCTCGCCAGAAACGAGCTCCGGCCAGGCCGCTACCTGAGCAGCAGGAGAGGCCGGACAGCAGGAGTAGCGCCAGGGCGCCGAGAGATGCCAGCACCGCCATCGCCTCTTCTCTGCCGGGGTAAAAAGGGAGCGGACTCCCCTGACCACGAGGGGCAGACTAGGAAGCGCGACGCGTAAGAGGCCGCGGCAGCCAATCAGGTGCCGGCAGGCCGGGCGGGCCTGTGACGTCTCTGGCGGCACTGACGTGTCCCCTCCCCAGACTAGGGGACTAGCAAAGCACCCCCAAGATGGCGGCAGCGGCGCTCCTAGAGCCGGAAGGGGGCGTGGGAACCAGCGCGTCGCGCACATGCGTATTCCCAGACCCACGCCCACTCACTGACTGGCGCTCTCCACACTCTCGCGAGAGCGGTGTCTGCGTATCCGGGACGTTCCATGTTTCTCATTTTCCATCATGGCGCTGACGGTGGCGAAGGCTGTCAGCGGCTCTGCGAAGGCAGTGCTCAGGCCAGCCCTCCTCTGCCGTCCTTGGGAGGTGAGAGGGGAGAGCGGGTCGCAGGCACAGCTGCAGCGCTCGCTAGGGGTCTTCGCTCCTGGAGTATTCTGGAGCCCGATTGGCTGTGGGCCCCGCGAGGGGCGGGGAGAGGGCTGCTTACTGGGGTTGATTGGTCGCCTTCGTTGTCAGTGAGGAGATTGGCCAAATTTGGCCTTGGTCCGGCTTCCCCAGGGGTCTTCATCTTGTTGGGGGGGAGCTCAGTACAGATGGGGAGACTGGGCTGCTGCGGCACAAGTGTCACCTCCCTAGTGTCCTTGTGGGACCCCTCCCAAGGCTGTCACGTGTTTGGTACCCCTTGCTCTTGCCGCCTTGGGAATCCTGTACCCAGCCAACGTTCCTGCTAGGGTTTCCCACTTGTGAACTGTTTGGCCACATATCCCAGTGGAGATGTAGAATCTGATTTCGCCAGCATCCCCAAACCCCACCTCCCCCCCACCCCTGACATTCTTATAGCCCCAGTTCCCCCCCTCCCCCTTCCGCAGATTCCTGGAGCGGGAGGGAGCCAAGGTTTCTGAGGCTGGCAGGGTAGGAGGCTGCCGGTTCTCCGTTTAGGATCTTGGTTATTCAAGTCTGATTGCTTTCTCTTCACACACTGAAATGAGCATAATTTAGTCTCTGGGTGGGTTGGAAGCCATCTGTAGTATCAGCAAGCCAGGACTGGCCTGGAGGACAAGAGATATGATCTCCAGGCCTAGCTACCCCACTGACCCATTGTGTGGCCCTAGGCCAGGCCCCTCCTCTATCTGGGCTTCAATTTCTCCTCTGTCTCAAAGGATCCAGCTAACTCTGACCTTTCAGAACCCTGCAACTTTGCTGACGCTCCTTGTGGACACATCTCCTGCCATACTCCCTCTCTCTGATCCCTGGGGAAGATGGCCTTGTGACAGCTTATGCTTTATGAAATTCTGTTTAAAATGTTGACTTCTTTCACCTTGCTGATGAGAGGCTTTCCAGAGGCCCTGACGACTCTGGGCAGCTAGGCTCCCACAGAGTCTTGGTGAAGACATTTATCGCCTCCCTGACCTCCCTGTGTGTGTGCTTGTGTCCATGTTGGGGTGGGCATGGGAGGCTGTGAACGGTTGATAGCCAGGCAGTGCCTTGCCCTGAGACTGGTTGTCCTGGGTATGGCAACCTTTAGAGATGAACCCCAGATCTTTGGTCCCACTAATTGGGACCTTGTGGGAAAACATGCTGAAGAGAGAAGGCTCACTAAGCAATGGAGTATGGGAGCCCTTTGGCAGGAACTCATACTACCCTGAACTCCTTTCTTTCTGTGACACCATCAAAGGATGAGGGCTGACAGTCCACCCTCCTGCCTGACGAATGAGCAGGAGGCCTATACATGTATCCCATCCTGCCTCATACCAAGCTCCTTTGATGGGTAGCTTCACAGGGCAGCTTAGATGTGAGGCAGAACCTTTGCAACCTCCGAAGGAAGGTGCCTGCATCTGTCCAGAGCAAGGTCAGGGAAGTCTCTTAACATCTAGCATAGGGACTGGGTGAGGGAGAGGTTTAGCCCTGGTGGTGGTGATGTGCTCCAAGGTGGGAGAGGGAGGTTGCAGAGATGCAGAGCCAGGCCTGGTGCAAATGCTGGCTCACCACCACGCCCGAGTTACCTGTCCAGTGCCAGTGAACTTCAGAGGGCTGAAGCCAAGGAGGAATTACTGCCAGGAGCTGTAGGGGTCAGCCCAGCACCCCCCCATTCGACACCAGCCTTGAACACTGGCCTGAGGGGCTGTTGGGGTGAAGTGGCAGATATGCTTTTGCATAGCTCTGTGTGCCCTGCTAGGGACTGAACAACTTGACTACGTCCTCATTTAATCTTTCCAGCAGTCATGTAAAGTAGGCACCTCTGTTCTGTGGATTTCAGGTGAGGACAGGAAGCTGAGCAAGGTTAGCTGTTTGCTGCCAAGAGTAGTGGATGTGGATTTGGACCGAGGTCTCCCTGGCCCCAAGGCCCCTCATCTCTTTCTTCATTTTCTGATGTGTTCATTCATGCAAAAGCTATTTTTTTGTGTTCCTAGCTTTGGGCCAGGCATTCCCCTGGGTCTTGGGATGACAGTAGGGGACTTGACAGATATGGCGTCCACTTTCAAGGGCTTAGGGGTTTGGGAGGGAGCAGTGCAGTGACAACCTAGGGAGATTTGTGGTTGGAAGGGTAGGAATTGAGATAGGACTTTGGAAGCCTAGAAGGGTCTGCTCAGCAGCCTTAGGGCATCATAGAAAGCTTCCTGGAGGAAGGGCAGTCTAAGCAGCCTTCCACAAGTTTGTATCAAGAGCCTCCAAATAAGATGAAGCTAGATACTGACAAGTACTAGAAGGAAAACAGAAAAGCCTTGAGTGTTCCTGTGGCTGAAGATCCAGGGGCCACATGGAACAGCAGATAACCCTGGAGTGTCTTGTCCTAGCAGCCACCCCCTTCCTGGCCCCTGCCTTGGGCGGGCGAGTGGCACATCTGTGCTGCCAGAGCTCATCCAAGTGGGTGCCTTGTGACTACTGGCCAGGAGACCCAGACAGGGACAGTCAGCCTCTGCCTGAACTTTCTAGACTTCTAGCAGGAAGGCACAGCTCTTTGAGAAATGGCCACGGTGACTCTTGACTCTACCATTGGCTGGAATGCTCTGCCGCTGCTCCAGGAGGAAAGTGGCAGGGCATCCCCAAGTGACAAGGAGGACCTTGGCTCTGCCCCTGCCTCTTTGGATTGAAGGACACCCAGGTGTGTTCCCAAGTGGGACACAGCAGGGAGGAAAGTGTGTGGGCCTATAGCCCCCCCTTTAGGGGGACCTGGGACAGGGGCTTCTCCGTCAAGGACAATATGGGGACTCCAGATTGGTCACTTCTCAGCACCTGTTCTATTTGGCTCGGTGGCTTTTGCTCTGAAGCTGTCAGGCATGGCACCAATGTGGCCAAACATGGCTGTTTCCGAGTCGAGGTTGGGGACATTTGTCCTTGTAGACCATGAAGCAGTTTTGCAATCCTTTATTAAAGCCTTCGAAAAGATTGGTGTTTGTTATTCTTCTAAAAATGGCTGGATTTCACCCTGCACTTTATTTAGTATTGGATTTCTGATTTTGGAGGGCCATTCCCCACAGTGCTGCAAGTGCTTATCTCTGGGTGGACCTGGGAGGGGGGCGGTGGGGGCGGGGAGCTAGGTGCTGTCTTTTTCTTCTGATCTCCATGTTCTAGATTTTTTCCATTTTCTGACAATATGCTGCATTTGGAATAAGGAAAAATGATGGAAAAGTGATAAAGTAATTATTGTGATAGCCCTGTGGTTTGTTATAACGATTTCCCAATCGTGCCAACTTTTCTGTGTTACAGACATCACTGAGTAGGAGTAATTGGCCAAAAAATAATCAGAAACAACTAAAGGAGGGGAGAGAGACATAAACATTTTTTAAAAAACTGACCACGGAGCTGAAGGAGGGATAAAGGATTATGATGATTCTCCATGGTGCTCTGGCAGACTGGTCCCTGGGAAACGGGGCTCTGGAGTCAATTGTTTGGGCATGCGCTGTGTGCTGTTGTTTGCTGTCAGAGTGTGCATAGGTGAAGTAGAGGGGGTGACATGCGGGACCTGTCTTGGCACAGTAGGGATGGTCGCTCTTCCTGGCCAAATGGACTTTCTGGGCTGGACCACAACCATTAGCATCGGGGTTCTCTTTGCCAGGTTCTGGGTGTCCACGAGACCCCCCGGAGAAGCTTCTCAGTAAGTACCCGCCCAGGTGTGTGTGCGTGCACGGTACGTATGTACTTGCACATGTGTATATTTGTGTATATCTGTGTGCATGTGTAGGTGTGTGCATGTATGTGTGCATGCATGCACACTGTATTTGTGCACATGTGTGCATGTGCTCACGTGTGTGCCATGCCTTTCTGCTCCCTGGCCCTCTGTGTCCTTTCCTCTGTGGTGCGGTCTCCAAAGGTCACCCACCCCTCCTTACCTCCTTACCTGAACTGTGCTAGACAGCAAGTATTCCCAGGGAAAAGGCACAGCCTTGTTCCTTCAACCTTGGCTGATCCAAGTCTTCTTCCTTCCTGTCACCCCTCTAGCAACAAACAATTGTGAGTATTCTCATCTGCCTGTTAGATTTGGGGCTTTTAGTTGCTTTGGGATTGACCCAAGTCCAGGCGGGGACAGGGACTGCTGCTGCTGCTATCCTTCTAATCAGGGAGCCCCTGTGAGCAGCCCTATCTGGGATGGGGTGGTGCTGAGAGCTAAGGTACCCCAAGCTGGCACCTCATGATTGGCCGGCCCACCGGGTCAGTGCTGGTGGGAAGAAGGGAACTAAAGGCCCGCCTTCACCCTCCTCCTCCTTTCAGCCTCCATCGGCAAAGTATGGTGGGCGGCACACGGTGACCATGATCCCAGGGGATGGCATTGGGCCAGAGCTCATGTTGCATGTCAAGTCTGTGTTCAGGTATGGAGCCGCCGGGCCCACCTCCCCGTCACCTGTCCACCTAGGGAAGGCTGTGCCTCAGGCCCAGCCAGGGGGTACCCTGAGAACTTTGTGTCAGAGGGGCAGTAACTAGTGCAGAAGCCTATTGGCTGGGACTTTGCACAATGCCCAAGCACCCAGTGAGCCAGCGGCAGGAAGTCTGTAAGTCTAGGCCTTTTGCCCAGTGCTGGCCATCTCACCAGGCTGGCATGGGCATGGGGAAGGTGGCACCAGTCCTACTAACTGTGTTGTGGAGTTCAAGTGAGTCCCCATCAGTTGTCACAGCTGGACCCAGTCTCCTCTCAGCCAGAGCCATGTCAGGGTGGGCAATAGCAGGAGGTAACACTGCCTCTGCAGCCAGTGGTCCATATAGGCTTCCTAAAGGAGGTGTGGGGGAGGCCCAGGGCCAGCCGTTCTGACCCAGCTTTGCCCCAGGCACGCGTGTGTGCCGGTGGACTTTGAAGAAGTGCATGTGAGCTCCAATGCCGATGAAGAGGACATTCGCAACGCCATCATGGCCATCCGTCGGAACCGCGTGGCCCTGAAGGGTGAGCTTGGGCCAGGATGAGGTGCTGTGCATGCTTCTTTCACCTCTGAGTTGATACTTGTCCCTGGGGCTCCACAGCTCTGACTTGAGGGCTTTTCTGACTAGAGAGGATCCTGGGGCTTGGAGAGTGGACGGAAGTTTCTGGGGGCCTGTCCGTGCTGAGATTCTAAGATCTCGGTGGCCCTAGGCTGTGCGGAAGCCTGTCCAGTGACGGGCTGCCTTCCACCCTCTTCCCTTTTGAGGCAGCCCTCTCTGCTAAGGTCAGCTTTAACCCTCAGAGTCTGTCTTCACAAACTAAGTATCACAGAGACACAGCTCTCAAACTCTGCTTGCTGTCTTGGCTCCAGCTGGCACAGCGATGGATGTTATAGACAGGAATTCTAGCCCCTCCTGAGTTTCCCTTGGTTTGGTCCGGGTTCTTAAACTGTTTTCATCACTCATTCTGTAAAACTTTAGCCCATCAACTGCTCGGTGTGAGGAGTGTGTGAGCAAAGGTGAGCCTGGGAAGAGACCCATGCCCCAGCTATCAAGACAAGGGGCTGATGTGCCAACTCTAGGGTACCCGAGGCACTCTGGATGAAGGCAGCCCAGGCAGGGCATGACTCAGAGGGGCTGGTAGCCCTGGTGGACCTGAAAAAGGCCTCCACTACCCAGCACCCTCTGACTGCCTTTTCCCAGTGGCTGCCCTTGGTCTGGGTGCCCTGGGTCCAGCCAAGGTCAAGCTGTGGTTCTTTTCTAGGCAGCTCTTGCCTGCCCCTGAGCTGGGCCTTGCGTGGTACTTTGATGCAGGGCCCAGTAGTAACTCTAGCCAGGGTCATCTTGCTGGTACCAGCCTGGCCAGCCAGCCTGTTAATAAGCAGGAATGGTCACTTTCTATCCAGCCAGACCCTGGTCTTAACATTCCCCTCCCAGGGCCTGGCAAGACCTCCTGGTCAGCTAGCTGCCAAGCCTTGTTCATTCATTCGTTCAGTATTTACTGTCTGCTATGTGTCAGGTGCTCTTCTAGGTCCTCAGAACCCATCAGTGAAGCGAACACACACACACCACCCCCGCTGTCATGGGGCTTCTGTTGGAAGTTACAGTCTAGTGTTCTGTGACGTATTTCTGCCACCGAAAGCCACCTTCTCTGGTTGAAGCTGCCTTTGGTGCGAATTCTCTGGGTCAGGAAGGGGAATACGGTGGCACAGCTAAGTAAGACAGAAACTGCCTGTTGTTTCTGTCCTGCAGGCAATATCGAAACAAACCATAACCTGCCACCATCCTACAAATCCCGCAACAACATCCTTCGGTGAGTGCCACGTGCACGGAGTGGGGCTCTGGCAGGGGTGGGGTGGGTTGTCATGGCACTGGCTGGCTGCCTCTCTCTCTGTGCCCCCAGCACCAGCCTGGATCTTTATGCCAATGTCATCCACTGTAAGAGCCTGCCAGGAGTGGTCACCCGGCACAGGGACATAGATATTCTCATTGTCCGGGAAAACACAGAGGGCGAGTACAGCAGCCTGGAGCATGAGGTGAGTAAGGCCCAGGCCGCCCGCTTACCCTCTTGGGTCCTGGGGGCTGGGGATGAGCCCGGCCAGGGTCAACTTACGGTAAGGAAGGCTATAGCCAAGGAAAAGCTTGTGCTAGAGGGCAGGCTTGGACAGGACCCAGGCATCTTCTCCCCATTCCTTTCTCAGAGTGTGGCAGGAGTGGTGGAGAGCCTGAAGATCATCACCAAGGCCAAGTCCCTGCGCATTGCCGAATATGCCTTCAAACTGGCCCAGGAGAGTGGGCGCAAGAAAGTGACAGCTGTGCACAAGGCCAACATCATGTATGCCCCTTGCCCCCGCTGTGCTTTTGCCCATTCTGCCAGTAGCCCTCAAGTACCTGAATTAAGAAGCCTACTGGGGTCTGCTCTCAGGGACCTGGGACCCAGGACCCCGGCCACCCACCAAGGGGCCACGTGTGGGGTTGTGCCCTGTTGCTCGTCTCCCAGCCATGGGCTCATCCCAGTGCACGTTTGGGGGAGGTAGAGCAGGATTCTGCCCACTTTGCAGTTGGACTTGGCTAGAGGTTAGAACCCAGCCTTCCGTGGCCATCTGTATACCCCACCCTTCCAGCTGACTGTTGCAGTGGCCAAGCTAGTATCCTGTGTCCCCCCCCCTAGGAAACTGGGTGATGGGCTCTTCCTCCAGTGCTGCAAGGAGGTGGCAGCCTGCTATCCCCAGATCACCTTTGAGAGTATGATTGTGGACAACACCACCATGCAGGTAGTTACCCTGCCCGGCTAGGGGGCCACCTGCTCTGGGCACCCTGGGCTTCCTGTGCTCAAGCTCCTGTCTGCCCCTCCTTGCCCTGCAGCTGGTGTCCCAACCCCAGCAGTTCGATGTCATGGTGATGCCCAATCTCTATGGCAACATCGTCAACAATGTCTGCGCAGGACTGGTCGGGGGCCCTGGCCTTGTGGCCGGGGCCAACTATGGCCATGTGTACGCTGTGTTTGAGACGGTGAGTACCGCCGGCAGCACCTGGGCTGCCGGCCTTTCTGAGCTGGAGCTCATATACCATCTACTTCACCCTTCGAAAGTGCAATTCAGTGGGTTTTAGAATATTCAGGGTTGTTGAACCATCACCACCATCTAATTCCAGAACATTTTCATCACTCCAGAAAGAAACCCTGTACTTGTCAGCTGTCACTTTCCATCTCTCCCACCAGCCCCTGGCAACCACTAATCTAATTTCTGTCTTGTGAATTTGCCTGTTCTAGACATTTTATATGAGTGGAATCATACAATATGTGGCTTTTTGTATCTGGCTCCTTTCACTGTGCATAATGTTTTTTGTTTTTTGTTTTTTTTTAATTGGGGAATTGGGGGAAGGGGAACAGACAAGTTGCTGTCCTTTTGTTCTTTAGTCTAGTTGTGGAGGACGTTGCTTCACTGGCCCATGTTGGCACCATCATTGCGCTCTTCCCGGGTGAGGCAGATCAGTCCCGGGCTTCTGGACGGCCGCTCACTGCGGCTGCTGGCCGCTCACGCTGGCTGCTGGCTACACACGGTAGCCCATGGCAACCCACCGCCACAGGGGCTG